CCTTGATCTTGTCCATTAGGAAGGACTTGATCTCGTAATAGCGATCGCTGAACTCGCTGCGTTCCTTCTCCAGTGAAATCTTCTCAGCCTTGAATTCGTCATGAGCGTAGATCTCCACCATGGTTGCACTAAAGCTCTCCCAAAGCTCGTCCAGTTTCTCAACACGTACCTCCACCTCGGTAATGTTATTGGATTCCGTAAAAGCTTGAATGAATCGGTGGATGTCATTGAGCGACAGCTGTATCTGCTTCAATCTTGCCGTCAATGCTCGCATCGATGGTGTGGATGCGCCACCGGGTGCCATGTTGTCGTCGTTTCGGTATTGCGAAACAGAGAAAGGTGCGGTGTAGTATACTGCAAAAGCCTAGCTCCGCTAGGCATATACTATCTTAATTTACCCGGAGAAACAACTGATTGTGCTTCAAGTTCCAATGAAATCCTGCAGCCACGTGACGTCACACGTCCGGCTTCCGTTGGACGACAACTCAGCAACAATGGTGTGAATCAAGAGGAAAAGAGATGGTGTAGCAAACAGAGTGAAGACCTAGCTTCGCTAGGCATATACTGCTAAAGTTTTACCCGACAAAGCAGATGGTGATGCTCCAATTAAATCAATCAACTATGCAAGCAGCCTTGAACCCAATCGTCAGAAACCAGCAAGTACTCGAACGGAATGTGGATGAAGAGGAGAGACTGGGTGTAATATCCAACAAAATGGCTTCGGCCAGGCATATACTGCGGCAACTCACCACATGAACCAATTACTGCACCAAACGTTCAATAATATTCCTAGCGATACCAGCAAACGATCAATCCAATTCCGACGAAACCAAATCTCGAGAACGGGGTGCCAAAAGGGCAATCAGGGCTCAGCGATTAGAAATGTAGAACGAAGAGGGTTGATTCCAATTTAAAACAGTGTATTTACATGCGCCTAGCTTCGGCAGTACACTAATGTGTGTTTACCTGGCAAATATTTGCGCTGCTCCCAGTCTGCGTCGAAAGTGAAGTTCATCGGCCCTTGCACCGGTCGTTGACTCTGAAGGCGGTTGTTCACTGGTCGTAGTGGCGGTCGATGACCTCAATCGACGAAGTTGATGACCTCTGATGACCTCTGTTAGGATTGTATGCCAAACCACTGGCTTTCGAATCCAAACTTGATAACTTCCGCCCGTGTCCTCAGCGTGGTTGGCGAAGGATTAGATAGAAGAAACGTTGGCGTTAGTTTCAGGCAATCTAACAACGACTGGACATATACTGAATTTAAATAATTTACCTGGATATCCAGAGCAGGAGCTGATTCAGTAGTCCTAGTCTTCCGCCGGGATAGTGATGAGCGTGTCGAACCAGAGCGTCCAAGCAATTTCCTAAGTGAGTCCAACTCAGCCATTGAGCGTTTCCAGCATGCAGCCGTGATCGATCAATGTCCACGATCAATCCTCAATCCAATGAGATGAGTCCAATGGAAGAATGCTTCGATTGTCCGTAAATGCTATGGATGGCGCTTGATTGTTGTCGAAGAAGGCAATAATGGAAGGGCGCGCGATGGCGACGAATAGTCCACAATAGATCAGCCTATTACGAATCCGAACCTCGTTTCGAACAATCCATTCAACGGAAAACCAGGTGTTAGAAGGTTGTATTTCCCAGCTCGGCTGGACATATATCGTGCACGCACGGGTTCACTAACCTGACCAAACTTCGTTGGGTTGAATTCGAAGCCAACCGAAAACCAGTAGCGATGGCGGTGTGACGCCAAATCCAAAGCGTGCAAGTGTCGTCAATAGAGCAAACCTTCAGCAGAATGGCGCTGGCGATGGCGATCCAATTGCTATTCCAGCTATGACCGAGTGTAGTGTCGCGAAGTTTCCGTACAGTCCACAGTCTGTCCTGACCCGCATCCGGTTCGAAGGACCAAAATGAACGGGGTGGGCCAGTTACCTTCGATCGACAAGCTCAGCTGCGATTCCAGCCCCGGACATCGATGGTGATAAAGTTGCTGTGAGGTGGAACACGGTGTTGTGCTGAAGAATCCAGGGTTGTTCTGTCTTTCAAACACCAATTACGTAACTCGCGACTGGTTAATTAATTAACTACACTTTATTTTAGTGAACATGCAAACAATTTAATTTAAAACACTACATATATTCAGCACTACATATAAACTTAAATTAACACGAATTAAAATTCCTCCGTGGGTCTCCGCGCGTGCGATTCGGTGACTTGGTTGAGGTGGACTGGTCGCAGCTTCCGAAGATCGCCGTAGGTAGTCCGGTGCTTCGTGGATGCGATGATTTCCTCCGTCGATATCTGAGAGTGGGTGATATTCTCACCGCTCTTATCACTAGTCATCCTTATCACTCCTACAGCAATCGATGACGATGATGGTGATGATGACGATGATGATGGCTTCGCTCTCTCCAGAGTGAGTGTTCCTGCGTGTGCTGAGAAAACTGATTCGATCGTGCAGGGCTAGATCGACATATCGGTGTGTGGTTCTTGTGCTGCTTTGGTGCTAGTCGCGTGGGGATGCCATGGTTGTAGTCGGATGGGTCACACTCCTCGACAAACCTCTAAAATTGCGTTTGGCGATTCTGAACTTTTCCAAAGTGATTCCAAACATTCCTAATGTAATGTAATGGCAGTATAACCAAATCTCGTTTTTGGAAACGTAACTACAGTGCACTCTCTACAAATCGAGTTATAGAATAACAACCCCTCATTTTTATTATGTTTCTACAACTCAATATCAAGTTAGTGGACATCGAATTGCAGACAGTTTACTGTACTTTATCTATGTTGCCAAAAACGAGACCTTTTTCGATGTGTCACAATTGAGTGGCTTACTCTCTGAACGAAAGACTTGTACAGATTCAACTTTTTGGCCACATCCCTGACCGAAGCATTGGGATTCCGCTTTAACGCTTTCACGGCACGCTTGTGATCCTGATCACTAATAGAACATCCATTCTGACCGCATTTCTCCTTCCGGTTGATGAGCAGAGTTTCGTAGTAAGGTTTTATCAGTGGTCTAAAAGTGCCAAAACGTTCGTTTTTTAGTTTATGCAAAAACGGTCCATTTAAACCATATAGTGTCTTCGGAGAAGTTTGTGCACTTAAAAATCCCCTTCTTTTGTGCTTAGCCATATCATGTTTAATCCACCTAGCAGGGAGATGAAAAATTTACTTTTTTTGTTTGTCGAGATAGCAAAATAGTGTTTTGAGCAAAGTTTTAGAACTCAAGACGTCAACCCTCTATCTCTTATGTTTACAGAGATATATCATTTTGGTATGAGCCTTCAGAAAATCAATTTTTGCTAATTACTTTTCAGGAAGTAATTTTTTGACATTAGTATGCTCTACACTAACATTTGTTTTTTTGTCTCGGGAAGCAAGTCCCTATCTTCAATATTTCTTGAGATATTCAAGGTTATGATCCAAAAATGATTGATTACATTTGAAAGTATACTTAAAATGCTGCCCAATGCATACCAAATAATTGGTCTTCTTTAGTATTCTCTGTTGATCTGCTTATTACCAAACTATAGGGTCACGACTTCCCGTATAATTGTGCTACTGTTGTTTTTTTAATGAACACTAAAAACAACATTACTACCTCAAATGATTACTACCTATATCTGAAAATAGTTATATTTCATCAACCGTTTCATGGAATATCAAAGAAAAAAAATGTTTAAGTTCATTTTATTGATAACCTTGATCGTTATTAAAAAAAAAAAACATTAAATAATTGCTCAATCCCAGCAACTAATTCCCTTTATTTTGTTTGTATCCAAAATTTCAGCTCAGAACGAGTTGTCCAAACATTTTTTGTGAGCAAACAGCTTAGATTAGTTGTCACTATTATTTGACAATAGCTTTTAGCAGTTTTTAGGAGGAATGACCGGTGATTGCCACTTTTATTCACGTTCTATGGCTTTTTTCCTTAATTCAAATATCTCGAGTTGAAAAAATGATACCTCTGCCATTTTTTTCAGCAAATATAAAACCAAATTTCCTTTCCATTACTTTCAATAGATTTGCAATTGGCTAGTGCGTTTTAAAGTTATATTAGTTTGAAAAACACTTGCTTTGATTCAGTGGTTAATTATGTGATCAAAATGTGTGTGTTTTCAAGTTCTAAAAGTGTTCTCAAGAATAGTTTTCTCTAAATACATAGCAAAAAAGGTTATGGTAAAACAAACTGTTTTTTCATTAATCACCCTAACCTTCTAGTTGGTTCAGTTCGTAGAATGCGTAGATGATGAGATAAAAATTTGACGTCTTGGACAAAGTTGCTTGGTTTTGCATCCTCTACAACTTTGAAGAAGTAAAAAAAGATTCCAAAAATTTCCCTGAAGAGTAAGATTGTTGAAGTCACCCTAAAACTGAATCACCCAACAACGACATCAAAACGCTACAACCAGTAGATTTTGCGGAAAATCCAATTTCCATGTATTTTTCCGCTCTGGACTACTGTGCACTGTGCATTGACTACACGATTCCGAGTTGTTTCCCGATGTCCCGATGAGAGAGTTAAGGATTTTCCAGGTGCTTGCGCCATATCAATTCGCGACGTTGCTTTTCGGGTGAAGCAATTTTTTCCAATTTTCGAAAAACTGACAGCGATAAAAATACATTGTAAACAATACACTCTAAGCTACGTCTACCCAAGTTTTGAAGAGAAAATACCCAATGGGTAATTTTCTACAGCATTTTTTCCGTGATGTAATTTGATGTGGGACACCCTTTATTCAAACAATTTCGATCAAATTTAATGCTGCGTATGGTTCCCTTTATGTTCTGAAGGTCAGTACTTTAAAAATGATAATTTTGCCTCAAGACAAGGCGTCCCCCAATAAGTTTGAGGAAAAGGATGTACAAATATCCACAACAAATACAGCAAAAACATCACATAGACACCCTTATTCGCACTATCTATTCAGGGATAGAAGGAAAAAGCTAACTGAAAATTGAACTAGGTACCTGGGAGGCCTACAATGCCCACGGTAACAGTTTGACTGTGACTTCGACTCCGGCTCCGACTCTGACTTCGACTTAGGCTGTGACTTCGACTTCAACTCCAACTCCGACTCCGACTAAGACTTCGACTCCAACTCCGACTCCGACTAAGACTTCGACTCCAACTCCGACTTCGACTTTGAGTTCAACTTTGACTACAACTCCGGCTCCGACTCCGGCTCCGACTCCGGCTCCGACTCCGGCTCCGACTCCGGCTCTGGCTCCGGCTCCGGCTCCGGCTCCGGCTCCGGCTCCGGCTCCGGCTCCGGCTCCGGCTCCGGCTCCGGCTCCGGCTCCGGCTCCGGCTCCGGCTCCGGCTCCGGCTCCGGCTCCGGCTCCGGCTCCGGCTCCGGCTCCGGCTCCGGCTCCGGCTCCGGCTCCGGCTCCGGCTCCGGCTCCGGCTCCGGCTCCGGCTCCGGCTCCGGCTCCGGCTCCGGCTCCGGCTCCGGCTCCGGCTCCGGCTCCGGCTCCGGCTCCGGCTCCGGCTCCGGCTCCGGCTCCGGCTCCGGCTCCGGCTCCGGCTCCGGCTCCGGCTCCGGCTCCGGCTCCGGCTCCGGCTCCGGCTCCGGCTCCGGCTCCGGCTCCGGCTCCGGCTCCGGCTCCGGCTCCGGCTCCGGCTCCGGCTCCGGCTCCGGCTCCGGCTCCGGCTCCGGCTCCGGCTCCGGCTCCGGCTCCGGCTCCCTACGATTTTTGTCAATCCAATCAAAACTCCCTTGCTCTACGATTTTTGTCAATTTTTAAGTGCCCAATAATCAATCCTGGGACTTTTTTGAGAACTGTGACTTGCAGAACAACTAAGACTTCGTGGCTTAAAATACTTTGAAAATTTTGGTCTTGTAAAAAAAACTCTGTGATTGATCATAATGTCCAACTTGATACACTTTATTCTCAGCACAATTTTGCTTCATGATTATGTCCTATACCAATGTTTCTTCTAGTTAATATTTCTTCAGTATTCGTTGACATTGGATTTTTTTTTTTCAAAATTATCGAACTAATACAAAATTGTAGGATCCCAAAACTGGAAAAATAAGGTTTAAGATTCGCTTTGCAATTTATGTTAAGTTACTCTCTAAATTCACTCTAATTTATTTATTAAATTTTGGCAATTCCATCATCTTGGACTCAAAAAATCTTACTCATGACAAAAAAATAAAAATTTATACTTTTGCTCGATATTATTCACTCACCAAGTAAGTATTCAGTTTCAAAGTAGCACTTAGGAGCACCAGTGGAGGCATAGCGAAGCACTAGCAATGAAAATTGATCTTAAACCATTGGTTAACATGATCAAGGCAATGTATAAATCTCTTTATTTTATTGAACGGCTACGCAGTCTTTGTTAAATTAAACGAGTTTTTATTTACCCGACGTTTCGACACGGGGATTGTGTCTTCTTCAGGGGGAACTGTAATTTTATGTATCAATATACTATGTTTTCCTTACATATTTATGTTATGGTGACTTACAATAGTTTTTTCATTTTTTGTCTTATGTTTTGTCTAACTTTAACTGTCTGGTCTCTAATGTGTTGGTACATGCTGTAAATTGAGTATTTGTTTGTTACTTATTGTTTTTAGTAATTTAAAATGAATTTAAAACTCCTTACACGTCGGATACACTATGCTATGAACTTGTAGTACTGGCAAATGGCGCAAAATTGTCGGGTAAATAAAAACTCGTTTAATTTAACAAAGACTGCGTAGCCGTTCAATAAAATATTCAACGATACAGTCGATCCTCCACCAGTTCTATTCACAATGGCAGCATTACAGCATTCATTCTTCCGGTACATAGACGAAAACTACGGACACAACACAGTAGACGCAATGAAAACGTATGCGTCCAGCAATAAAAAACTGGCAAGTTTAGAAAATCGCAAATCATTTCTCATAAAGTGTAGACGACAAGGTATATTTCCCGCACACATCGTGAACTCGTTCAAATGCGTACACGAGCTTCTAGCAGAAAATGGGCCCTACATCAACAAGATCGATAAAACCATCAAAAGATTCAACAGATCTATTTTGAACCTGGAAATCAAGCAAACCTTTTTCAAGATAAGACGGACCTCCAAGGAATTGAATGAGATGGTGTGCAAAATTCGATCTCTGACCAGCGAGAGCGTGATCGTAGAGTTTGTGGCCACGCAGCGAGCGGCACACAGTAGTTGGTTAAGCAGGAAGGATAAGCATACGTCGAAAAAACTCACTAACATCGTACAGGTATTAAACAAAAGCGACGCAAGTGAACCCTCGTACAACGATCGCGCAATCCTCAATGCAACCGATTTGGAGATACCAGCGAACATCCTACAGCTCATCAGTCTCGGTCCGAAATTCGCGCTACCAACCACTTCGCTATCGCAAATCCCATTTTACCACCTACTCGCAGACACAGAACGCATTTTGTTCACTAACGAAGACAAAAAAGTGCAGGACAGAAATCGATGCAAAATCGTGAATGTAACGCAAAACTTCATTCATGGATTCCATTCGATGGTGGAGACCCATGACAGCACAACTAAATTCTGTGAAACGGCGACAAACACAACAAAAAGATACCTACGCTCACATCCCGAGATAGCTGTATTATCTGCAGACAAAGGCAACAGGACCGTTATCATGATGAGGGACGACTACGATATGAAAATGCGAATATTGGTGAATGATACTACAACATACGAAAAAGTACGGGCTGACCCTACGTCCAGGTATCAAAAGGGGAACAACAACATAGTCAAGAGACTCAAAGATTTGAAACTCATCGACTATAGAACAGCCAACGAACTAACCACGAATAACGCAACATGTCCCAGGATTTACGGCCAACCAAAAGCCCATAAGCAAAACCTACCTCTCCGCCCAGTCATTCCCAACATAACCACACCTACATACAAGCTAGCAAAGTATATCGCCAACATTCTCCAGAGCTCGCTCCACAGTCCGTACAGCACAACCAACTCGTTCAATTTCTGTAACGAAGTCAATAGCATCAAACTCCCAGAAGGCTACATTATGATATCACTGGATGTAACGTCGTTGTTTACGAACGTACCACGACACTTGGTCATCAGGAACATCATTCAACGGTGGAATGAAATTAACACACAAATCAATCTGGATCTTTTCCTAGAGATTGTGGAATACTGTATGGAGGCCAGCTATTTCTGTTTTGATGGTCAGTACTACAAACAGACATTTGGGACGGCCATGGGTAGCCCGCTATCGCCAATCGTAGCGGACATCGTGCTAGACTCGGTCATCAATACAGCTGAGTTCCCTACCGTTTGGGACTACCATATTTTGGAAATACGTGGACGATATCTTCATGGCTATCCCACGGAACACCGAACAGCAGGTCCTAGACGCATTCAACAAAATAGAACCAAGAATACAGTTCACTATAGAAATCGAGGACGACCGAAGACTGGCATTCCTTGACATGATGGTCATACGGAATCCAGATCAAACACTAACCACCGAATGGTACGCTAAACCGATTGCGTCAGGCAGAATGCTGAACTACAAATCATTTCATCAGCCAAAACACAAAATAAATGTGGCGACCAACTTTATCCACCGAGTTCACTCGCTCACACGCAACAAACCCAGGGAAGAAATAGCAAAAACAATCCACCAACATCTACTAAGGAACAACTACCCCAAACAACTAGTCAACCGATTACTAAATCTACATAAGAACAAATATCAAGATCATCCGTCCAACACCCATTCCAGCCAACCAACGCACCATAATACATTCACCCCACCCCCACTGCACCCAACCACATCTAACCCAGCCGAATGTACGCGAAGCCAACCATCATTGCAGCCACCCACTCAGCCGACCATGGTGCCAGCTATTTCCATCCCGCACATACAGTCCGTACCAATGCTTCACCCAAACGATGCAATTAATATCGATCACCAACAAGCAGCACCAACGATAACCGATCATCATTCGACCAAGAAATCCATCAATGACGTAGACCAACAGATCAACATCCAAACGATGCCAGACCAACCTACAATAGAAAGAGAAGGAAAAATTTACAGAGCAATCCCGTATGTACCAGCACTTTCCCAACGCATTACGAAAATCCTGTCCAAGGACTACCCAAACATAATAGTCGCAATAAAACAGCACCGCACTATCAACGATCTCCACACTAAAGTTAAATACCCTGTAAGTAAAGAGGAAATTAGCAATGTAATTTATAAAATTCCGTGCAATAATTGTGATAGCAGCTACATAGGAATGACGAGAAACAATTTACGCAGAAGACTAGCAGGACACAGAACAAATGTGAACAAGTTAGAAAAACTGATGAACGATAACCACACCATTACCGAAGCAGCCACACCAACACTCATAGAAACCACTACCGCCCTGATCCAACATTGTATAGAAACCAACCACAGATTCAATCTAGATAATACACAAATTATAGACCATAGCTACAAATCATCAACACTTCCATTCCTTGAAATGTGCCATATCACTAACACCAACTACACAGTAAACAAACGAACAGACATAGACAGACTTAGTACGACATACGCAGCAGTATTGCACAATATTAAGAATACAGCTAAACGCAACAAAACCAGAAGAGAGCAATCGACCACAAATGAGAGATAGGTTTTTAAGATAGGGCATTTCGGCTACCAAACAAAATGGGTTTCATAATTAGGGGGTTGCCAAAAACAATTTTGCGCCATTTGCCAGTACTACAAGTTCATAGCATAGTGTATCCGACGTGTAAGGAGTTTTAAATTCATTTTAAATTACTAAAAACAATAAGTAACAAACAAATACTCAATTTACAGCAGTGTGGCAATTTCATCGTGGACACCCTTTACCAACACATTAGAGACCAGACAGTTAAACATAAGACAAAAAACGAAAATACTATTGTAAGTCACCTGACATAAATATGTAAGGAAAACATAGTATATTGATACATAAAATTACAGTTCCCCCTGAAGAAGACACAATCCCCGTGTCGAAACGTCGGGTAAATAAAAACTCGTTTAATTTAACTAAGACTGCGTAGCCGTTCAATAAAATATTCAACGATACAGTCGATCCTCCACCAGTTGTATAAATCTCAAATTCGCTTAATGAAGAAATTTAAATATCCTGAATTAAACCTGAATTTGGTTTATAGCACACACAATGAAGATTTTAGAGTTTCATTATTTGTATCTAGAAGTCGGAGTCGGAGTTGGCATAATTTCACCAACTCCGACTTTGACGGCCTGAGGTGAATTTTTCTCCGACTCTGACTTCGTCTCCTTGACTTAGACTCCAACTCCAAAGCCCTTTGGCACTGAGGAAGTCCACAAGTAGTGGACGAATACGCGTATCTGTCAAAATATAAGCAATTATAACGGAACTAAAAGAAAATCTCGCCCAATATTCAATCCGATGGAATCTAGGATTTGGAGTAGGAGGCGAGATTTTCTTTTAAATTTTTTTCTTTAACGTGGCATAAGTAAAGTATGGCCATAGAGGTAACTCTAAGACCAGAAGGTCCCGAAGAAACAAGCTCAACTTTTTGGCTCAGCTCTGGTACTATCTTCGGTCCCAAGCTAATCGATTCACCCCTCGAAACTTATGAAAATCCACTAACCCCTCATTTTATCTGTCAAACTTTCAAAGCGAATCAAAACAAACATAGTGTAGTACTGGAATTTATACTAGAATGGGGTACGTTAGTCGATTTGCTTGGGCCCAATAGGCTACACTGAGATAATTATCCAGATAAATTTCATAAACTACATCGTATGAAC